TTTTGTCAACATCAATAAAATGCCAAATAATCATACGTAACTCGTTAAATATCGAAGTTAGAAGGAAAACAACTTTTATTTGAAGCATTTTTCGCAATTTTGAAAAAAAAATTTTCCGTCAGCGTCAATACTTAATTGGATATTTCCTTCTATACTTTTTAGCACGTAGTTATTTATTATTAGCATTATTCTTCCGACGTCTGATTTCTTTTTAATTATAGGAAATGCGTTTTTCTAAGGTACATAAACTTTTGGGATTGACTGCATAGCCAATACATCCTTAAGAATTAGCAACACTCTTCTTACCAATATAATATATTAGTTTTAGTCTTCTCTCTTTAGTAGTTTAATCTTCTTATTATTATTTAGTTATCAATTATATATTTCATTTTATTAGGAATTACCAACACTCTTCTTGCCACTACAATGTATCATTGCATTGATATTTTTTGCCAGAGGTAACCCAATGTCAATTTAAAAAAAAAATGTTCTTTAGTCTTCTTTCTTTAATATTTTAGTCTTCTTATTACTACTCATCAATTAAGTATTTCGTTTCATTAGGAATTACCTATACTCTTCTTGCCAATCCAGCATATCATTGAATTGCTATTTTTTGCCAGAGGTAATGTGCCCACTGGCAATTTTTTAAAACAACCATTTGAAAACGTCGATTGCACTGCAGGAGACAAAGGCGTATCACTTCCGTGACAACCGGCTGAATTTTGATCGAAAAATTCCCTTTCTAATGCACGTAGCTTTTTACTCGCTTTGGGATTCTACTCGATGTTCCCATGGCCGTTCCGCATTTCGATCGGCCTAAAGAATCCGCGCACCTTTCTACCTCCGAGCGTTTTGTTCGTCTGTCTAGTCCCATGGTGGGACGTCCGGCGATGCCGATGTACCTTGCAAAACTCGAACGCACACCCTTGCAAAATTACGCGGGCTTATCCTTTTACCATTCACCTCGCTCGCGGCATAGATTTTGTGATTGCTGTCCTGTCGTTACTGTTTTTATGGTCGTTATCGATCGTCCTCTTGCATGAAGTGTATCAATTTTCAAATGTAGTTTATATCGTTGCTCCTTTTAATACGATTTCCTTATTGCATTATAATAAGGATAATAGATGAAACGATTAGGGACCGATTTATTGTAGTTTGTCCTGTTGAATGAAGAGCATCAGTTTTTAACTATAATTTATGTAGTTACTCCTTTCAATACGATTTCCTTATTACATCATGTTAAGTTAGGTTAAATCAAAAGTTCGTGGAATATAAAGCATTTTTGTATTCCAAGTGTTATACATTTTGTAGCTTTTGAGAAATTATTTAACATTTACATATTAGATACAATTAATTTAATAANAAGTTATTGACTGAGTTGAAAAGAATTCGGGTTGCAGTGGCTGAGCACGTTGACTTTAATGCGTGCTATTAGCACCTTAAATACTGTGCAATAATTCATACTTTCTCATTCCACAGCAGATTCAAAGAAATCCCACTTGTCCCATTGAAAACCGTCGATTCTTCCATTGAAACCATCCTCCTCTTCCTCCTCCATGCTTCTTTTTACAATCTAAGTGAAAATGGATTTTCAGTTTTATCTTCCTATTAACTGAGATTGATAAAAATTCGTTTTACGTAAATGTTTAGAAAATGTTCACCTGTAAACGGATGATGCTTCCTGAACGCTTAGATGAAAGTTCGTTTGACCATACGTGTGTGATTTATGGACGGACATAATACGGAGATCCCATGGTGTTTTCTCTTGATTGAAATCACTAATTACTTTCTTCCTGCAAGGGTTAATGTAATATGTTCATAACTCCAGGATTGAAAAGCAGCCCCTAGAAGAATTGTAATAACTGTAAGATACCATAGCGTCACCCGTTACGTAAAACACAGGAATTACTGAGGCAATGCCTTCCCGACAGAAGGTATTAGATGAATTTAGAAAGCGGTTGTTCTCGATCAAAAATTGAAGGTACCTATCGATGAGGACAATGAGCATACTCGAAGGGTTCAGAGTTCAGGGACGATGGGAGGTTGAAACTTGGGGGTGTCCGGCGAGTCAAGTTCGTGAGGAAAAAGAAATAGGAACGAGACCGTTCTCGGTGACAGTGGCGAAGAGAAAGAGAGAAAGAGATTCGCCGGTGGGTCTCATCAGCATAGGTGATGGGTCGAGATGCGAGTGGGGCCAGGGCCGGTATAAAAGGGGCACCGTGGCATCTGCGGAGCATCAGTCCTCAAATCCAAGGAACAGCAGCAACCATGAGGGCATTCATGGTGAGTCGAATATTCCTTTCTCTCTCGTTCTTTCTTATCGTCCTCTTCCCATCGTCTGGTGCTGGCTCATGTGCGTCGCTCGTCTCTTCGTTGGATCCGTTCCGATTTATATAATAGAAAATTTCTGAAATTTCATTCATCGGTTACTGTGTTTATCTCGCGAGTTCCTATTCTTGTGCGGTCTTCATTCTCTTCATTTTTTTTTTTTTTGTTTTAAGAAGTTCTCGGTGTGATTGTAGTTTCGATGTCAATGAAAACTGTCGACGGGTAGACAAATGCTAAGTTAAAATTATCTCGGTGTGAAAGTACATGCGTAGTACGTGAGACAGTAGAGATGAGACAGGAAAGGAGGATGTCTGTGGGGAACATAGAAAGGGAACGGGAGAAAGTAGATGCCAGTGGGGATGATGACCGGCACAGATGCAATTCAATGTTCGACGCGTCTGATTATCGCGATGACAAACGATTATGAAAGTCACCAGCGATTACTTTCCAATTTCGTGTAATCCCACTTCCTGCATTACGTTTTTGTTTTTCGTTACTATTCCATGTCTGTGCGTACAGATTCTGTCGTCTGACAATTTTCAATTTGCTATCCAATCCTCTTCTTCAATTTTTATTTCTTCTTCAATGCTGTTCTATATCTCTTCATCCAGATTTTATACTATTTGACAATTTTATTTAAATTTATCCTTGCCAACGATTACTTTTCAATCCTCTTCTTCATTTTTGTACTTCTTCTTCACTGCTGTTCCATATCTCTTCATCCAGATTTTATATTGTTTGACAATTTTTAATTAAACCTATCGTTGCCAACGATTACTTTTCAATCCTTTTCTTCATTTTTGTATTTCTTCTTCACTGCTGTTCTATATCTCTTCCTCCAGATTTTATATTTTCTGACAATCTTCAATTAAATCTATTGTTACTAGTGATTACTTTCTAGTCTGATTTAATCAAATTGTGTTCTTTACTTTTACATATCTTCTTGACTACTCTTTCACGCCTGAGCATTCACATTTTGTATCTTCAGACAATTTCTAATTAGAATTATTGTTCCCAGTAATCACTTTCCCATCTCATCTAATTAAATCTTCTCTATATTTATATTTCTCTTTCACTACAATTCCAGCTCTGTGCAACCAGATTCTATGCCTTTTGACTTAGAATTTCTAATTTAGATTTATTCTTGCTAGTGATTACTTTTCAATCTTGTTTAATTAAATCCTCCTGTTCATTTTTATATTTCAACTTCATTGCTGTAGTCTGTGCATCCAAATTCTATGGTTTCTGACAATTTTTTATTCAGTCTTCTTCTTCTTCTTGCCAGTGATTTACCTGTGGATCCAGCTTCTATAAATTCTGACAATTTTTAATTACATTTATCCTTAATAGTAATTACTTTCCAATGCTTCTCTTAATTTTTGAATTTCTTCTTCATTATTAATTATACAATATCTCTTCTTTCTAAATTATTTCCACTCAACACTATTCCGTTTTCTTATTCTTCTAATTCCCAAATTCTATCTATATACTTCCATTCTCTAAACAGTTCTTACATTCCCTATATATCAATTTTTAGATCGTGGTGCTCGCCGCTTCGGCGATGGCGCGACCAGAGGCCGGCTACTCGTACTCTCAGCCAAGCTCCAGCTATGGTGCACCCGGAGGTGGTGGCGGCACCGGAATCGGTGGCGGCCTAGGCGGTGGCGGCGGTCTCGGAGGTGGCTTCGGCGGTGGCATCGGAGGTGGTTTCGGCGGTGGCGGCGGCGGTGGCTTCGGAGGTGGTTTCGGCGGTGGCGCTGGAGGCGGTTTCGGCGGTGGTGCCGGAGGCGGTTTCGGCGGCGGCGGCGGCGGTGGCTTCGGAGGCGGCTTCGGCGGCGGATCTCTGATCCAGAAACATATCTACGTCCACGTACCGCCACCAGAAGCCCCTGAAGACAGACCGGCGAGACCCATCGCGCCTGTAGCGCCCGCGCAGAAACATTACAAGATCATCTTCATCAAGGCGCCCACTCCCCCGACCCCGACTGCTCCGGCTATCCCTGCTCTTCCTCAACAGGATGAACAGAAGACGTTGATCTACGTTTTGGTTAAGAAACCAGAAGAAGCGCCCGAGATCACTTTGCCCACTGTCACGCCCACGCAGCCCAGCAAACCGGAAGTTTACTTCATCAAATACAAGACCCAGGTAAGAGCTCTTTATACGTATATCGTTTCTAGGCTTCAAATATTGGGCCCTACTGAAAATTCGTGTCGATTTTTATGGAGTATTTAAATTTTCATAATTATAATTTATTTTTTTATAGTAATTTTCTCAATTCCTGTCGTGTAATCACTGTTATTCATTGCACTTCGAAAAGGGAATGCGATTTTTCTGTCTTTAGCACTATTAATTAGTTTTGATCATTAATGGAAGTAAGATCTTAGGTTTTATGAGAAATTGCCTATTTTGTGTTGAATGGTTGGATTTCTAAAATTGTCAACCACTGGGAAATATTATTGATACACAATTCCTTGTACAAGTTCTGCCATCTCCAGTTCAGTACATCCGGTTATCTTCATTGCTTCCGGTTCACACAATTAAACTTGAGAACAACTCAAGAACACATATAACAGAACTTCGCTTATAATCTGAAGTCCTGATTCTATTTAGAATGTGCAACCATATTTGAATGATTTATATTAGAAACACATTACTAAAAATAGTTTACTAACATTTTCATTACTATAGTTAGTTGTTCACATCCATCTAAGATAAGCATTTCTCTGGGATAAATTCATAACAGGCACAGGATTATTTACATCTGTAAAGCATCAAGGTTTGTTATCCTGTCCAATTCACATTACAGGAAGCTTATGACTTCTAATTGGAAACATACAATAGTTGTAATTCTATCTTTACTAACTTGATGGCCCAGTGCTAAACATTCATATTGCTTCTCACAGGAATCATTTCCATAAGTCTGTTT